TAAAGGGGAGGTCAGAGGGGGAAGGCAGGGGAGGTGGGTTAGAGGGAGCGGGGGGGAAGCATAGGGGCGGGAGAGTCAATGGGGGAAAAGAGGGTGTCAGGGGAATCAACGAGGGAGGGGGGAGCAAGGGGAGCATCAGAGGGATGGGGAGTTGGGTTGGAAATGGGGAAGGGAGACGGAAGAAAGGCGGGGGCTAGGCAGGGGAGGGAAAAGTGGGGGGCTAGGCAGGGGAGTGGGGGGCTGGTGGAAGGAGCCCATTGTGCACTGGGGAGTCGCAGGGGCTGGACAGACACGAGACTCATGAGACCCCCACTGCTTCCCCCTCCCCAGCTGCAGGCAGAGTTGGTCTCTCCCAGGTACTCCTACCACACCCCTTGTCCCGAGGGGAAACTGAGGCAGAGAGCGGCCACATGGCTCATCTAAGCTCCCCCAGTGGCCTCTCCAATCAGGTCCAGCCTGAAACACGGGAGCAGAGTTGCTGGTGCTTTGTGAGCTGGGGCAAGGAGGTGGGATGGGATGTTTACAGTAGGTCCTACGCAAACCTCGCCGTTTCCCAATCGAGAGCTCGCGTCCTGCCAACATCCATGGCCAAAGCCCAGCTCCCCCACCCCCCTTTGTGAGTGCCCGGGGGCATCTGCCTCCACCCCCAGGGGCAACAAAGCCCCATGACGACACCCCCCAATAGAAAAGAGGGTGGCTCCATTCTCCTGTACAAACGCAAAAGGGTCCACGTTATTTATTTACATTTAAGCTGCAAAATATTATTAAAACAAAGAGGGGGGGTTGGAACTGCACCCCCCCACCCCTCCCAAAAAGAAACGCAGATTAAAGAGGGGGAGGGGGGAGGGAGATGAGATCTGGTCTCCCTTTTCGGGGTGGGGGAGGAGACGCTGCAGCTGTTTATTAGGGGCAAGCAAGGTCCCCCCGCGCTCTTCAATCTGCGCCCGTCTTTTCGGAGACTCTCAGAGCACCCTCCCACTGCTTCTCAGCCCCACCCAACTGCCAGCAGGGCCCCCCCCTCGCCGCTTTGGTGGGGGGGCCGGCCGAGGGCATCTTTCGAACCGACCAGCGCAGCCCAAAAACAGGTCCTTTGGTGGGAACTTGACCAAACATCCCCCCTTTCTTTGATTCACACACACCCCGCTGCACCCCACTTCCGCCACCTACTGGGGTGGGGGGGGGGCAGTAGTAAAGTCTCCATTTTAAAAAGGAAACCGGGGTGGGGGGGAGAAGGGGAAGTTTAAAAAAAAAAAACCACACAAAATAAACCCCTCCACTTTCCTTCTATATTTACAGCCAGGAAGCGGGGGTGGGGGGAGCCACCCCAACTTCCCCCCCCCATCCGCTGGGGCTGGAAAGAGCAGCCGCTCAGTTTCACTTCCCCCCTCCCATCAGCCGGGGGGGCAACATGAGCACACAGATGTGGGGGCGAATCTCCTCTCTGCTCAGGGCAATTCGGGGGACTGGGGGGGAGGACAGTCCAGCTGGGTGGGGGGCGGGGCCCAGTCTCTAGGGCTCCCCCCCGCCCCGGGGGGCCGGCACAGCGGCAGCGGCCTTGCGGGCCCCCTCTTTGCACTTCTGGCAGTAGAAGATGTCCGGGACGTTGGTCTTTTTGATCTTGGCGCAGGAGAGGTGGATCCAGGTGCCGCACTGGTTGCACTCGATCATGGGCCGCCCGGCGAAGGGCTTCTGGCAGTAGCAGGTGATCAGGTCCCATGAGTCGTCCCCTGTGGGGCACGGACAAGCCGGGGGTCAGGGCTCTAGGGGCATCAGAGCTCCTGCAGCCCCGCCCCATTGGGATCACAGCTCCCCTAGCCCCGCCACTCACCCCCAGACCTACATTAGCCCCGCCCCATTGGGGAAACAGCTCCCCTAGCCCCATCCCATTAAGAACACAGCTCCCCCAGCCACACCCCTTCACCCCCCATTAGGAACAGCTCCCCTAGCCCCGACCCATCGGCATCACAGCTCCCCCTGCCCCCAGGGCATGACTAACTCCAGCCCCAGGTCCCCGTCCCCCGCCAATGTGTCTGGCACCCCTGGCTGGTGGTTAGAGTGGGGGGGGGGGCTGGGAGCCGCCCCCTCCAACCCCAATGTGCCACACAAAGACAGACCAGGAGCCGGGATTCCTGGCTCCTAGCCCCGGCTCTGGAGGGGGAGTAGAGAGAATCAGGTATCGTCTGCCAGATGATGGGAAGACGGGAGGGCTGAACACACCCTTTTTTTTTTCTTTAACTACTCAAAAGACGGCAGTGGGCTTGGATTCGGGACCCCTGGGTTCAATTCCCAGGCCTGCTGCAGATCCCTGCCACAATCCGTGCCTCGGTTTCCCCATCGGGAAGGACAGGAGACCGCCACTTCCAGCATCCAGTTAGATTCTGATCTCTTCAGCTGGTCTCTCTTGACGCTAACGGCCCCAAAACATCAAGCCATTTGTGTCGTCTTCCCCTGTCTGTCTGTCCCTGGCCGGTTCGCTTCAACCCGCTCCACCCCGAGCCCAGTGGCTCGTGCGGGACGAGAGTGTCTATACAGTCATGAGAATGGGGAGTGGGGGCTTGTGCGTTAGAGCAGGGGGGCCAGGGAGCCAGGACTCCTGGGTTCTCTCCCCGGCTCTGGGAGGGGAGTGCGGGCTGCTGGGTTAGAGCAGGAGGGCCAGGGAGCCAGGACTCCTGGGTTCTCTCCCCAGCGCTGGGAGGGGAGTGGGGGGGCTGCTGGGTTAGAGCGGGGGGGCTGGGAGCCAGGACTCCTGGGTTCTCTCCCCAGCGCTGGGAGGGGAGTGGGGGCTGGTGGGTTAGAGCAGGGGGTCGAGGAGCCAGGACTCCTGGGTTGCATTCCCAGCACCACCCTGCAGTGGAGCAAAGTTTTGGCCGGCCACCTCCCACCCTGTCACCACGCCTTCCCCTCCCGCCGTCCCAGCACGCCCCGCAGCGCCTGGCCCCACAGCCCCCTGGGAGAACAGGCCCGGCGGCCCCGGCCCCCTCACCTGACTCGACCATGATATCCTCGTCCATCACCCGCATCTCCCCCTCGCTGGAGCTGCCGTCGCCGTCCTGGCTGGTCTCGGTGCTGCCGCATTCCTTGCCCTCCCCACCCCCCAGTTTGGGCTCCAGGTAGCCGCCCTCTGGCAGCAGCTCCTCCGGGGAGGGGGCCTCCTCCTCCCCACCCCGGCCCGGTGCCGCCGCCGCCCCCCCCACCCCCTCCTCCTCCGAGTCTGTCTCGCTCAGGGAGGCCTTGAGCTTCTTCTCGGCCTTTTTCAACTTCCGCTTCTTGCTCTTTTTGATGCGCGAGCGTTTCTCGCCCGCCGAGTCCCCCCGGCCGCGCCGGGCCGCCTCAGGGGCCGCCCCCGCCCGCCGGCACCGCTTCTCCTTCTTCTTGTCCCCCGGCGGGCCGGCCCGGGGTGCCGGCGGTTGCCGGCCGGCCGGATCCAGGTCGAAGAGGGAGTCCTTGAGCTTCATCTTCTCCAGCAGGGAGCTGTCCGCCTTCAGGCGGCGGAAGGCCTTCTTCTTGGAGGACTTGGCCTTCTTGACGAAGGTCTCAATGGTGTGCAGGTCCGAGTGGGTTGACTCCCAACCGTCGCTGTCCGCCACGCTCTCCGGGCGCAGGGGGGAGCTGGAGCCCGAAGGGGTCCAGTCGCTCTCCTGGTTGGGGCGGGATGCAGATTAGGGAGGGGGCGACAGGGAGAAGCGGAGGCCAGCCCATGGAGTGGTCCCCAGGCCACCCGCCTAGCATGCCGGGGGGTGAATGTTGGCCGTCTTCCCAACATGCAGTGCGGCCCGGGTCAGGAGAGGGTGTTGCCCGCTCTCCCAGCATGCATTGGGTCCCAGGTGCCTTGCAGAGGGAAAGACGCTTCCCAGCATGCACCATTCCCAGCCAACTGGGATGGGTACATCTCTGCATTTGTGCAGGGCTGCCGGAGAGACTACATGTCCCACCATGCAATGCTGCTGGCAAGCCCCGCCTGTGCGGACATGTCCTCTAGGCAGCCGGGCTGACAACACTACAGCTCCCACGGTTCCCTGCTCCAGCCTCTTAGCTAAATGGCTGGGCTGCAAGGCATGCTGGGATCTGTAGTTTTCCTAGCCCAGAAAACAAGGCAGGGGCCTATGGAAAAACCTACATATCCCAGAATCCTGTACTCTGGGGGGGGCTCCCAGAAGGGCCTGCTGGGACATGTAGTAGATCACGATAGGACTGGGAATTGGAGTACCCCTGGCACCAGCTCATTCCCCACCCCGAGCTGGCGCCCCCTGGAGGGGACAAGCCCCTACCCCATTCCCCGTCCCCCTGAGCCAGTCAGGCCCCGCCCTGGGGTCAGAGGGGAGCCGGCGCCCCCTAGAGGGGACAGGCCCCTGCCCCATTCCACGTCCCCCTGAGCGAGCCAGTCGCCACTCTGGGGCCGGATGGGAGCCAGCGCCCCCTAGAGGGGACAGGCCCCTGCCCCATTCCCCGCCCCACTGAGCCAGCCAGTCCCCGCCCTGGGGCCGGATGGGAGCCAGAGGGGACAGGCCCCTAGGGCCTAAGGGTGTCGCTCACCTCCTTGGTGGATGGGATGTAGCCGGCATAGGCCAGGACAAAGCTGCAGAATTTGTTGAAGTCCTCGATGGTTCGCCGCCGCTTCTCGGGGGGCTGAGAACAGAGACGCGTTAGGGGGAATTAAGTGCTGCCCCCCCAGCGCTGCCCCCCCTGCCCTTGCGTCAGGGACTCACAGGGGTTAATCGCACCCCGAGATGCCGGTCACACAGCAAGGCCAAACCAGGGAGACAACCCAGGTGTCCTGGCTCCCAGTCCCCCCAACTCCCTAAACACTAGACCCTGAGAGTCCTAGGTTCTCCTGCCCCCCGGCTCCAGGACGGGAGTGGGGGCTGGTGGGTTAGAGCAGGGGGGGCTGGGAGCCAGGACTCC